GCACGAATCGTCTCTTGTTTTAGCTGTGTAGGAGGCTTGCCTATGGTCTCTTATTTGCATCGCTACTACTGAAATGATAAGAGTAGTAAGGTTTAATTTGAATTTATCTTTTGGCCTCACCCTTTGGTCCTCGGACACCGCGAGGCCCCATCAAGCCGTCGGGCCCGGTCTCGCCGTCGTCGCCCATGGGGCCCGGGTAGCCGGGTGTCCCCTTGTCGCCGGGAGGGCCCGTCTCGCCTTGTCTCCCCTCTACGCCACGTTCGCCGGGGCTGCCTCGCACTCCCTTCAGGCCGAGCGGGCCCACGGAGCCGGGATTTCCTCGCATACCTTTTTCTCCCATTCGGCCCTTCGAGCCCTGGGCTCCTCGTTCCCCCTGTCCGGGGGAAAGGGAAACGACAAGAAGGCCTCAGTTTTGTTCAGCCAAAAAGCATTCGCTCTGCACCGGAAGAGTGACTAATTGGCCCATCACAACTGCTAAAAGCATAAGCAAACAACAACCAGAAGCTGAACACCATCTATAAACCACGACCTGCCTCCTTCTCCAACTCCTCACTATCATCATCATCATGCTCCTTATCATCATCAGCATCAGCATCGTCGTAATCATCATCATCATCATCTTCATGATCCCCCTTTTTAGCGTCAGCAGCATCAGCAGCATCATCGCCATCATTATCATCATCATTACAATCCTCCTCCTCACCATCATCATCATCATGATCCTCCTTTTCAGCATTATCAGCAGCAACAACAATAGTAACGTCGTCATCATCATCGCCATCATCTTATTCATGATCCCCCTTTTCATCATCTTCAGCAGCACAAGCATCGTCATCATGATCAGCATCATTGTAATCCTCCTCCTCCTCATCATCATACCCAACATCATCATGATCCTCATTTACAACATCAGCAGCAGCACAGCAGCATTATCGTAATCATTATAATCATCATTATAATCCTCCTCCTCACCATCATCATCATCCTGATCGTCCTTTTCAGCATCATCAGCAGCAGCAACAATAGCACCGTCGTCATCATCATCGCCATCATCTTCTTTATGATCCCTCTTTTCATCATCATCATCATCAGCAGCATCGTCATCATGATAAACATCATTATAATCACCTTCCTCATCATCATCATCATCATCATCATCATCATCCTTATCATTATCATAGCCAATATCATCAAGATCCTCTTTTCCAACATTAGCAGCATCATCACTATAATTATCAATATAATTATAATCCTCCTTCTTCTCACTATAACATCATGATGATCCTACTTTTCACTATCATCAACAGCAACAACAATAGCACCGTCGTCATCATCATCGCCATCATCTTCTTCATGAACCCCCTTTCCATCATCATCATCATCAGCAGCAGCATCGTCATCATGATCAGCATCATTATAATCCTCCTCCTCCTCCTCCTTATCATCCTTATCATTATTATACCGAACATCATTATAATCCTCTTCGTCCTCACCATCATCATCATCATCATGATCCTCGTTTTCAGCATAATCATCAGCAGCAACAATAGCACCGTCGTGATCATCATCGCCATCAACTTCTTCATGATCCTCATTTTAATCATCATCATCAGCAGCAGCAGCAGCATCCTCATCCTGATAATAATAATAATAATAAGAAGAAGAAGAATCATTTTCATCACCATCAGCAACATCATTATGATCCTCCTTTTCTACATCAGAAGCAGCAGCATCTTCATCATCATCATCGTCCTCAACATCATACTCCTCCTCCTCTTCTGTCTTATCCCTA